GTAGCGTCATAGAGTCCTGCTCCCGTCCCATCGACTTATCTGTGCTCGTAGCAACTGCTGGCCTCTTGAGCCCTGCCTTCCTTACAGCCCTTGGCTTGCCTGTACCTGGTGGCCGCCCTCGTGGACGCAGCGTGCCAGGCCCTTTCTGACTTGCAGCAGGTTTTTTCATTGTCCCACCACGCGCAGCCGCTTCCATCGGAGGGTCCATGTCCGCTCGCAACGCGGCCAATTGTTCTGCGACCGACAGCGTAGCAGTGGGTTTAAGCTCCACAGACTCAGCAGTCTCCACCGGTGGACGGTCACAGATGGCCAACTGAGGAGGCCGTATCTGCGCGCATGACCCGGACGGAGCGGATTGGCTCGACTGCATCGTCGCAACGCTTGGTTGCGCTGATTTGCATGCTTCCACAACTTTGCAGATATCTTCCACAGCCAAAAAGCCTGGCGGCACTTGGCCACTGGAGGGCAGCGCGTGGCTGCTTGATTGCAATAAACGGTTATCCTTGCGTAGAGGCATGTGTCGCACATAGTTACAAATCTCTGCGGCAAGATCCGTGATCTGCGTCGGTTTCCCCGTAGGAAAGACGCGTGTCACAATGTCCTGGTCCAACTCTTCCCAAGCCACAGGCAAATCCAAGAGATACTTCGAATCCTCTGCCGCCGTCAGATACTTTGTCACAACCGGCTTGAAGCGACAAAACAAATCATGCTGTTGCCGCGGCGACAAGCCACGCTTGCACAAATTCCATTTGGCAAGCACCACAATCGTTGCCTTCGTAGCTTCTGATGCATTGCGCAATGTCATTTTTGCCGCATGTTGACACAATCTGCATAGCAGGCGGTCCGAATCCGTGGCGGCATTCCCAACATCCTGCGCCAAATCATCACCTAGATAATACGGCAACATAGTAAAATCTTGGGTAACACCACCACGGTTGCTCTCGACCTCAACAGGACGTGTTTTGGCCGCAACAAGCTCACGGAAGCTATCCAACTGACCAACCGTCCAAAGATCTGCCTGAAGAAGCCTCAGCCATGATGCCGCTTGGGCAGCAGTGAAGGAGACTACCTTCTCCAACGATCTTTGCACCCCTTGAGCCTGCTTGTCCCTGACCTCCTCGTAGGAGGCCAGGGACCGAATTCCACGTAGGAATTTCTGCGCGGCATCTATCTGTTTTTCAGCTGCCATGACTGGAACCAAAATTGCTGCGCAACATGACTTTTCCTGCCAGATTGCCCACGACAATCGAACTATGTACGTTTTCAAGAAAAAGCTAAGTGATCGCTAAGTGATCGCTAAGTTACTACCACTTAGCACACACTACACTTATAAGTAACCTAAGTCAATAGTACGTGCCACCTAAGTTTTGATCACTTAGCCATCACTTAAGTAACATAGCCATCATTTACCCAAAGGATAGATAACTTATAACTACATTTACTAAGTGCCTAAGTCCCCGGCGATCCCAAAGCAGGATTCTCAGCCTGTGGCTGACCAAGTTCTTCCTAACATTATCGCGTAAAGCACGCGTGAAACAATGGAAAAGCAATGGAAAAATTGCAGTTTCGATGTGTGACCACTATGGAGTAGAAGCACAGAAAAAAAAAACATGGAAGAAACGAGCAAAACCGTTTATACGGTGCAACTGTAGGGATTGTGGAAGGTGCACTTGGGTAAGCGTTAGACACACTGGGGTAACATAAGGGTAAGGATGGAGAAATCGAGTAACACCATGGCAAAAAAACATGGAGAAATCGAGGATGCAAGAAGAGTTTCTGGGTGAAGAGTCTCTGGGTGAAAAGTATATGGGTGAAAAGTATGTGCAAGAAAAGTTTCTGGGTGAAGAGTCTCTGGGTGAAAAGTATATGGGCGAAAAGTATGTGCAAGAAGAGTTTCTGGGTGAAGAGTCTCTGGGTAAAAAGTATATGGGCGAAAAGTATGTGCAAGAAGAGTTTCTGGGTGAAGAGTCTCTGGGTGAAAAGTATATGGGTGAAAAGTATGTGCAAGAAGGGTTTCTGGGTGCAGAGTCTCTGGGTGAAAAGTATATGGGTGAAAAGTATGTGCAAGAAGAGTTTCTGGGTGAAGAGTCTCTGGGTGAAAAGTATTCTTTGGGTAAAAAGTATATGGGTG